TTAGCTATTTTCTCATATCGGAATGGAAATAGTTTGAAAATAGTTTTCCATTCTGATGACCTCATTTCCAAAACATAGATAGATTCCATTGCATGGTCAATGAAATGTCGGGAAGATAGTGAGATTTTAACACCTTCCCCTTCCCAACCCCCCTATGAAATTGTGTTTCACAGTCTCCCAGCTTTTCTCCATCTGCCTTCATGTTAGCAGCGATAGTAATAAGGAAATTATATCTGAATTGCTTGAGTTTATTTACCCCCAAAATGTTAATTCCTGCATTATAGAACTATTGTGAACCAGGGAAATGTTGTGTTGCCATTGTCCTTGGAATATATGCAGTGGTGGGATTCAGCCGGTTCGCACCTATTCGGGAGAACCGGTTGTTAACTTTCTAAGCAGTTTGGAGAACCGTTTGTTTTTTCCCCACTTTACAGGGCTAATCCTGTAAGGAAGGCAGGAAGGAAACATTCTGGTGTTGTTTCTACCCTAATCTTTATTGCCCTGCTTATAGAAACTGCCTCTCCGGTTAACCCTTCTTACATTGTAAAAGCTAAGGTGAAGCACCCATCCACATGAGTGACGTTGAGTTGACACCCAGCCAGTCACATGGCCACTGAGCCCTGCCTACCCAGCTGGTCATTAGGGCAGAGAATCGGTTGTTAAATTATTTGAATCCCACCAAGTGGGTCACATGATCGCGAGGGAGCTGCAACAGGCAGAACTTTAAGGAGCACTCATTCGGCTCCATTGCAAGTTGGAATGGTCACTGAATGAGTGGCCGTTAACCAAGGACCACATGCAAAGGAAAAAGACAGTGCGTCTGTTAGAAAGTGAATTGCCCAGTTGGTCAATTGATTCTGCACAAAACGTTTTGCAAAAAAAGCAGGCAAAAAGAAAATCTGTTTCATGAGGATTGGACGGGGGAGGGGGAAGAATTGGGAAGGGCCATTCAGGTCATTATGCCCCTGCTCAGTATGATTCCAAATTAAAACAATCCCCACAGATGGATATCATCAAGTGGTGTTGGAAAATCATTCTTTTCATATTCCGACAAAGGCATATTGCCATCTATTAGTGCAGTCCAGGTTTCACAGATGAAAACTGTCCTTTGATGTTTCTGAAAGCCAGGAAAAGCTCTTGCTCAAATGTGGAGTTAGTCAAAGTTTGCAGGGGGAGCTGGGGTCTTTGAGATTGCATCCACTATTGGCAAAGGCAAAAAGCAGCTACAGTTCCGGGTATGGAACTGGAGGGACGGAAAAGTGATTTAACACAGAATTGTCTTCCTCAATGTGGCGCCTTCTGAATGTGTTGAGATCCCAAGTCTTAGATTTCTTGATATTTTAGCATCAAACTGAGGAAAACTAAGTCTTTGCAGCCGAACTGAGAAAGGTTCAAAGGCCTCACGTTGTTCTTATTTTTAAGATGTTGAACCCCATATGCTGAAAGGTGCTTGGAGTTATAATTCAGCATGAACTGAGCAGACACATGTTTTTATTCATGCTGCAATATACACATGTCTTATAAAATTCAAAATAACAAGGAGAAATAACAGACTTCTGGCTTCTTACAAACTAACAGTTTTATTGTAGGACAAGCTTTCCTGGATTCTGTTCCACTTACCTAACCTGTAAAAAGAAGCATTATGCATGCCTGAGAAATGCACAGCTGAAAACTAGAGTAAAGAACATCATGATATAGACTATAGAATATCAGAGTTGGAAGGGACCTTGGAGGCCTTCTAGTCCAACCCCCTGCTTAGGCAGGAAACACTACACTACTTCAGACAAATGGTTTTCCAATCTCTTCTTTAAAACTTCCAGTGTTGCAGCATCTACAACTTCTGGAGAACAATTGTTCCACTGGCTAATTGTTCTAAGAATCAGGAAATTTCTCCTTAGTTCTAGCACTAGCAATAGCACTTATACCGCTTCACAGTGCTTTACAGCACTGTCTAAGTGGTTTACAGAGTCAGCCTATTGCCCCCAACAATCTGGGTCCTCACTTTACCCACCTCGGAAGGATGGAAGGCTGAGTTAACCTTCAGCCTGGTGGGATCTGAACTGACAAATTGCAAACAGACAGCAGGCAGCAGACGTAGTTTGCAATACTACACTCTAACCACTCCTCCACCGAGGCTCTAGTTCTAAGTTGCTTCTCTCCTTGATTAGTTTCCACCCATTGCTTCTTGTCCTGCCCTCAGGTGCTTTGGAGAATAGCCTGACTCCCTCTACTTTGTGGCAACCCCTGAGATATGGAACACTGTTACCATGTCACGCCGAATCCTTCTTTTCATAAGACTATATATACCCAGTTCCAGCAACATTCTTTATATGTTTTAGCCTCCAGTCCCCTAATCATCTTTGTTACTCTTCTTTGCACTCTTTCTAAAGTCTCCACATCTCTTTTACATTGTGGTGACCAAAACTGAATGCAGCATCATGAGAAGAAAACACAACAGGCATAATCCTAGTTTAACACCATTACTTGCAGGTAGGACAAAAGTACAGTAAGCCAGTGCATCTGATTGCTCTAACACAGCCAGTATGGTCTAGTGGTTAAAGCACCAGGCTAGAAACCAGGATAATGTGAGTTCTAGTCCTACTGTAGGCATGAAAGCTGGCTGGATGACTGGGCGCACGCATGCATGTTAGTGCCTCTGTGAGCCTCCGCAATGCTCCAGCTGGTCAGCAGAGCGTCGTGCAGGTGCTGTACGCACTGTGCACGTGTGCGGAAGCACCGAAGATGTAAAAGACCGGTAAGGGGCTTGAGTGGGTGGGTGGGCCATCTGGAGCACCGTACCAGAACAGTATCCAGTGCTCCGGGCAGGCTCTGGTACGCCCGTACCGCCTGCAACCCACCACTGATGTACCTGCACTTTTATAGCATGCATTTGTGGAAAGAAATACCACTACTTCAGTATTGTTTGACTTTGGCAACTTTAAGGTGTTTCCCAGAATTCCCCCAACCAACATGCTGACTGGAGAATTCTAGGTTATGAAATCCAAACCTCTTAAAATTTGCCAAGGTTGAAAAACACTGCATTACCCACAATCACACTTAGGTTCTAGTGTTACATTTTACAGACAATGAAGAGGAAAATAATATTTAAAACCAGTCTTTGTGCATAATGGTGTCTATTACTCAGACAGGACAATGGCAGAGGTAGTATTCAGCAGGTTCTGACCAGTTCTGGAGAACTGGTAGCGGAAATTTTGAGTAGTTCGGAGAAT